GTGTGTGTGTGTGTGTGTGTGTGTGTGTGTGTGTGCGTGCGTGTGTGTGTGTGCGGGGGGGTGATAAAATAAAAGAACATTAATAAAAATGTTGTTTTATGTGTCTTCTTCTTTTTATCATGTCACTCTTATTGAAGTTACATATTGGTGCCTGTTCACATCTTATTATGACTAAAAAGCCCATAGAGAATATAAATTATATGAGATCAGCAGTTAATAGAAGACAAAAGATGACTGTGAAGTATTTGACTGTCTGATCTGGTTGAACTGTAAAGCGCCTTGAGATGACATGTGTTGTGAATTGGTGCTATATAAATAAACTGAATTGTATTGAATTTAAATATATATCCTCAGTCTACATCTCTCCTTTTAGTTTATCTTTATTTTCAGATGACAAGAAGGACCTTTTGCTAACTTTTTTTCCTTAGGCCTGAAATAAATGAGAATGAAAAGATGTGATGAAATAAAGAGGGATAAACTGTCCATTGTTCTTGCTTAGTATTGACCAGGTAATCAGTTTGACATGAGTGATCTATAAAAACCTTTAGAACTACAGCAAACCTGAGCTATAATTCTAGTAAAAACAAAAAAGCAAGTCATAAAATCTCTTTATATTTGGTCTATTATAGCTTTATAAATAATCTTCAAGCTTTTTACATCATTAAACGTGTGAAGAGGATAATAGACTTTATAAATTTGAAATACAAAGTGACTCTATGGTAGTACTCCGACGGAGTCCAACAGGGATTAAGGATCTAGTGGATGCTACTATTTATCAATGAATTAAACAGTTTTTATCTGTCATTAAAGTCTAAGTAGTTCATACTGCTGCATACATTGTGAATCAGATTTTCCAATATATTAATATCACTTTTTACATTATGAATTATGATGTAATCTGTTACCTATAGTAGGTATAAACCATAATACTCACTTAGTTCACAAAATTGTACCAAAGACATTTTTGGTTCTGATTTAACTGACCAATATTGAACTAAATAAAATGTTAGCTAGCTTTGGACAGAAAATGATCATAACAGAAACAAAGGCTTAAAAAATCCAGTCGGTGTTTGATAAGTCTATATACTGTGTTTCAATTAGTGAACTGAATTACTGTACGAAATAATATAAACCTCTTAAAATATCCTTTATATTGAGATCTGCTTGTTAATTACATTTTTGCTGTTTTAATTCTGTGTTCATTTCTTTTTTAGGATGTATTTTTGCATCAAACATATTAAACATAGCTGATCACTGGTTCACTGCCAGGAACACTGATTATACCATAAATCATTACAGGAAAAATTGACACCATTTCTATCAAATATATCAATTTTCATTTCTATATTTATTGTTTTTATTCAGCAATTTCTCATCCAAACTAAATGTTCTGTTGTTTTATTTTTATACTACTTCATGATATTTCCCATAAAGCTGATGTTTTGGTTAATGTGTTTGTGTCAGAGTCAGAGAGCCGTGTCTCTCTACAGTCAGAGGTTTTTGTACGACCACTCAATGAGTTTGTATCACTGTGGTGGACTTTTGGTGGAGGAACCAGACTGGATGTTGGAAGTAAGTCTTTTACTGTATTTAAAATTAAATCTTATATTCTGATGTTGTTTGTCTTTAATCAAAAAAAAAATATTTTCTAAACATGAGGAAAAAAAGTAATTTTAATAAGTTTAAATTTAAATGTAATTATTCATTGTAATAAAAGGACTCAGATTAGTATTTTAGTTACAGGAATATTCTTGAAGATAGGAGTTGAAAATACATTTATATTGAAAGCAAAATGTTGACGGTGAGCTTTGAATTGAATCCAATTCATTAAATTTTTTTATCTAATCAAATCTAATCTATCTAAATTTTGATCAAATAGTAGATCGAGTAAAGATGAAGAAAGATCATTATTTATGTTTTGTTATTATATCATTTTACTTTGAATATTGTCTTGAATTATTTTTAAAAAAGTCTTTACTTTAGATCAAAAATATTCATTGCTTTTGAAATAGTAAATCTACTAAACATCCTTTTTTTGTATGATTATTGCATATATTTTTACAAAAAATAAGTTTTTTGGAAGTTTGAAAATTTGTTTTTCAATTTGATATAGAACAGACTTTATTTGATTTGTAAAACATCAATATTTCATGTTTAATACTTTTTGATTCATTCAAA